GAAAATAGTTTTGTTCTTGATTACTAGTATCTGATTTGATATTACCTTATTCGTCTTAAAATAATGGACACAATTGAAGAAATTTCGATGGATGAAATCTGACAAGAATTCAAGGAAAGAAATACGATATATAACCTACCTGTCCATAATACGATGAATATATAGACGAGTCATTATACTGATGGATATAAAGCAAGCAGACCTGTAAACGCGCACGTGTGAAGATTTGCAGTGACGAAGTGATGGAATTCGGCAAGGAGATAGTTGTAAATGCTTTTAATTATTCTCATAATGTGATTTAACATGCCACGTGTAACTGGCATTTTTTCATTGCTTTTAGCAGAGTGTTTCTTAAATATTCGGGACAACAGTCAGTGGAAATTTGGTGCTTCTTTTGTAGCGAACTATAACTTCCTGTGCCGTACCCACAGTGAGCGGCACGACTTTCTCCACGGAGCGTGTGGTGTAGAACTAAAAAGAACTAAGTATCATGTTTCTACTTCATTTCGGCTTACAAAAGAGCGGCACTATGCACTTTCAATACAAATATCATGATATATTATTGTGTATTGATCATGTGGAGAAATAATGTTCGATATACAGTAGCATTGTACAAAGGCTACAAGACAACCCACTTAAAACATTCACCAGAACCCGTGCTACTTCACCGAGTGAGTGTAAACCACTTTTAGCAGTATTTCGGCAATATGGAAACCGGTCCTTTTGCTTGACGAGCGAACGCTTTAACCACTGGACTATTCCACCGCACCATCCGCTTCATTTAATATACTCTCCGAAAAAAGAAACGCATATAGGAATTTCAACTGTATTTTTATGTTTATTTTGAAACATCTTGTAGGCTTTATGAGTCAATGAAATATAGCGATATTGGACACTGGGAATGCAGGCTTATCCGTCTTTGGCATCAAATCGAGGAAAGTCAGTTTGAGTGTCACATGGAGACGTGTGGTGGCGCTGAAGTCAATACCTCGTGTGACCACCGTGGGCAACTGCACGGCATCGTCTCGGCATCGAACGAATAAGTCTCAGAATCTCGTGTTGCCCAATCGCAGCCCACTCTGCCTTTAGTGCCTGTGCGAGTTGCTGAAATTGCTATTTTCTTGATGCGTTTCTTTTTTGGGAGAGTATATTTTCGCTAATACGAAAGAGTTCGCTTTTAATCAAATGAATCGATGAAATTGATAAAAACACATTGTATATGTACTGTAGATCAGCGTTACCTGTAGATTTGATGGCTCCAAATACAACGTTTGAAAACTCACGCTACGCGTTTGATTTCAGTTCAGTTTGGAACAGTTAAATGTTAAGGTAACCTTGTTTCACACCCTAAATACGATGTACTAATTTTAAAACACTTACGTTGTAAGTTTCATAGGTTAAATAACTCTGACATTGTGAGTGAGTGAGTTTGGTGTTGGGTCTTGCACGCAAAACACGTGGAATACAAGACAATAGTTTATCTTTAGTGGAATATTTACAGATTTATTTTGAAGGGAAACTGATTTGTATGGATAGTCAACTTCTTTATTGCAATGAGTGCGACGTTTCGGTGTAGGTACTAACACCGTTATCAAGCAAGTGATACAACAACTGAAGCAAGGAGAATATATACATAACTGTATAGTGAGCTTATTTATTTTGGTTTATATCGAATTTTATTTTCATAAAGAAATAGATGGGGCACAAAACTGTCAAATACTGAAATACAGATATATGGATTTGCTGACGTACGCCGTATTGCTTTCAACCGTTTACCAGTTCCCCGATCTCAGAGTGAAAACGAGTTGACATTAGCGGAGTGAGTGTGTTCAGTACTGAACACTGTATTCGTCACTCCATGGGGTAATGATGGTTTGGAGCTAACAGATCAAGACCATTATCAGGGGGAACATAAGATGCGGCTTACGACCAACTACAACACCAGAATCCTTCATGAAGAGAGACAACTGACACTCTCTTTTCGGAGAGTATACAAACGGCCGAGTCGTTTAAAGCGCCGCGGAGCGGTGGGGTAGCCTAGTGGTTAAAGCGTTCGCACATCACGACGAAAGAACCGAGTTCGATTATTCACATGGGAACAATGTGTGAAGCCCATTTCTGGTGTCCCCCGCCATGACATTGCTGGAATATTGCTAAAAGTGGCGTAAAACCATACTCACTCACTCACTTATTCCCTCCCCCTAACTTAGCTGATGTAACTGTAGTTCTGTACAAGGCTACGTTAAACCCAGCCACCTTATCAACAACTAAACATGCATTTCTTGACTCACTGTTTACAGTTAGGTCACATCAGATCAAATTCATATTCAATAATGAACAGGGGTTGAATGATGCGACACAATCGGTTAAGACCTGTGTGACAAATGAAAACATCGCCCTAACTTGAGTTCAGTGACACTGAAGATTACAGCGTCGTTGTTATGCAACAGTGAAACATCTCTGAAGCCGTCACAAACCCTGACACTAATCCGATTCTACGGGGATTTAACGGGACCCGCTAAACACTGTGTACAAACCTGTACCAGTCTCTCATGCTATAACTCATGCTATAACTTTTAATGTTGATATCGTTCTTATTTCAAATGTTGATATTGCTATAACTTTTAATGTTGATATCGTTCTTATTTCAATGTTGGTATTGCTATAACTTCTAATGATGATATTGTTGTTATTTCAATGTTGGTATTGTTACTTCTAATGTAATCTTTTAAGGCAGGTTTTATTTCATATTTGGTTGACCACGCTTTTACAAAGGTGAGGTGAGGTGAGGTGAGGTGAGGTGAAATGGGTTTAGCGTCGTACTTGAGAATATTTCGCTCATAGGACGACGTGCATGCGTGAGTATGTGTTGCTTGTACTAGCCCAGACTTAAACTGGTTTTATAGTGCTAGCCCACTGGGATACCATGCCGCAGTGAAGCATGAATACACCACTCAGACACATTATACTGACTCAGAGCCGACCAGTCCTTGTTGTACCCATTAATGCCGAGCGCCAGGCATGGAACATCAAGTACCATATTTTAACGTCTGTTGGTATGACCCGGCAAGGGATTGAACCCGCGACCTTCCACTCTCCGGGCGGACTCTCTTAACACCACAAAAGCGGTTAAAATTACATACCCGTGTGGCTGGGGACTACACGACATGAAACAAGCTCTGCTGTAATATGCAACCTGTGTTTATATAAGCAGAGAGTACAGCGTATAGGTAGGGGAGGCAATGTCATGTACCTGGTACGGGATGAGTGGGGAGGCAGGTGGAGATGATATAGACAGGAGTGGGGATGGGGATGGAGTGAGTGAGTGAGTGAGTTTTAGCTTAACACCGCTTTTAGCAATATTCCAGCAATATCACAGCAGGGGACACCAGAAATGGGCTTAATACAGTGTATCCATGTTAGGAATCGAACCCGGGTCTTCGGCGTGACAAGCGAACGCTTTAACCACTAGGCTACCCCACCGCCCCGGATGGGATGGAAGCTTACATGTCTTCCATGTAATAAACAATAGAATAGACAGCCCATTTGTCTTTGAAAGATTGGTTTCTCCTAAAAAAAATTTTTTTTTTTAGACTGTACTTCTTATCATGTTTAACAAGTGTAAAAGATAATACGTGCTATATTTGGGCTTACACTTTCTCGGTTAACTACAGATTCAGGTATTTTGTTGAGTTGAGTCCCATCCGGGATTCGAACCCTCACTCTCAGGGTCAGGCACCTAATGCCAGCACACAAAGTCAGCCATCTAACCCACTCAGCCGACGCGGCTTTCACAGGTTCAAGTTTGATTCCCTGAACACACCTCTCTCCAGCTACCACCTTATTACCATGCCCATCTCCAACTGCCACATCACTCTCTAACAACCAAACACTACCGCTCCCCACTCTAAAACTACCAAAAAACTACCATTCTCCTCCCGCTCTCCAACTACCACGACAATACAATTCCCTTCTCCCCTGCTACCCCACACTACCATCCCTCTCTCGATGTAGCCCCACACAACCACCATCCCTCACACCCCTCTCTCCAACTATCCCCTCACTACCATTCTTTTCTCTCCTACAACAACCGTCCCTCTCTCTCAAACTACCCCCACACTACCCCCGCATTCCCTCAATCGCCAATCCCTTACACTACCATCCCCTCTCATTTCTGTCCAACTACAACCAACTATTCCCTCTGTCACTACCATTCTCCTCCCGCTCTCCAACTACCACGACAATACAATTCCTTCTCCCTGCTACTCCTCTGTCCCCACACTACCATCCTCTCTCGATGTAGGCCCACACAACCACCATCCCTCCACCCCATTCCTCTCTCCACTATCCCTCACTACCATTCTTTTCTCTCCTACAACAACCGTCCCTCTCTCTCAAACTACCCCACACTGCCCCCGCATTCTCCAAACAATCCCCACACTACCATCCCTCTCCCAAACTACCAAAACACTACCATTCCCCTCTGTCCAACTACACCCACACTGTCAACCAATTCTCTCCTACAGCCCTCTCTCCAGCTACCCTTTCTCTCTGCCCAGCTACAACCACCTCATTCTCTCCTACAACCATGCCTATCTCTCCAGCTACCATTCCCTCTGTCCAACTACAACCACCCCGATGGATGGATGGAAGGATGAGGATGATGGAGGAGGAGGATGGATGGATGGAGGAGGAGGATGGATGGATGGATGGAGGATGGGATGGATGGAGGGAATGGATGGATGGATGGATGGATGGATGGATGGAGGATGGATGGATGATGGATGGATGGATGGATGGATGGAGGAATGGAGGATGGATGGATGGATGGATGGATGGAGTGGATGGATGGATGGATGGAGGATGGATGGATGGATGGATGGATGGATGGATGGAAGGAGGAGGATGGATGGATGGAGGATGGATGGATGGATGGAGGATGGATGGATGGATGGGATGGAAGGATGGATGGATGGAGGGATGGAGGGATGGATGGAAGGATGGCTCCAACTACAACCACCATTCCCTACTCTCTGTCCAACTACAACCACCCCCATCTCTCCAACTACCATTTCTCTCTGTCCAACTACAACCACCCCATCTCTCCAACTACCATTTCTCTCTGTCCAACTACAACCACCCCCATCTCTCCAACCATTTCCTCTCTGTCCAACTACAACCACCCCATCTCTCCAACTACCATTCCCCTCTGTCCAACTACAACCACACCCATCTCTTCCACTACCATTCCCCTCTGTCCAACTACAACCACCCCCATCTCTCCAACTACCATTCTCTCTGTCCAACTACAAACCACCCCCATCTCTCCAACTACCATTCCCTCTGTCCAACTACAACCACCCCCATCTCTCCAACTACCATTCCCTCTGTCCAACTACAACCACCCCTATCTCTCCAACTACCATTCCCTCTGTCCAACTACAACCACATCTCTCCAACTATCTCTCCAACTACCATTCCCACTACCTCTGTCCAACTACAACCACCCCCATCTCTCCAACTACCATTCCCTCTGTCCAACTACAACCACCATCTCCCCATCTCTCCAACTCTTCCATGTCTGTCCAACTACAACCACCCCCATCTCTCCAACTACCATTTCTCTCTGTCCAACTACAACCACCCCCATCTCAACCCCTCCAACCATCTCTCCTCTGTCCAACTGCAACCAACTCCAAACCATTTCTCTGTCCAACTACCATTCCAACTCTGTCCAACTACTATCTCCAACTACCATTCCCTCTGTCCAACTACAACCACACCCCATCTCTCCAACTACCATTTTCTGTCCAACTACAACCACCCCCCATCTCTCCAACTACCATTCCCCTCTGTTCAACTACAACCACCCCTATCTCTCCAACTACCATTTCTCTCTGTCCAACTACAACCATCTCATTCTCTCCTACAACCATCCCTATCTCTCCAACTACGATTCCCCTCTGTCCAACTACAACCACACCCATCTCTTCCACTACCATTTCTCTCTGTCCAACTACGGACCGCCTCCGTGGTGTAGTGGTTAGAGCGTCCGCCCGGAGAGTGGAAGGTCGCGGGTTCGATCCCCGACCGCGTCATACCAAAAGACGTTAAAATATGGTACGTGTTGGTCACTGCCTGGCGCTCGGCATTAATGGCTACAACAAGGACTGGTCGGCTCGGAGTCAGTATAATGTGTCTGAGTGGGGTATTCATGCTTCACTGTGGCATGGTATCTCAGTGGGCTAGCACCATAAAACCAGGTTACGTCTGGGCTAGTACAAGTAACACATAAACACGCATGCACGTCGTCCTATGAGCGAAATATTCTCAAGCACGACGTTAAACCCAATTTCACCTCACCTCTGTCCAACTACAACCACCCCCATCTCTCCAACTACCATCCCCTCTGTCCAACTACACTACCATCCCCATCTCTTCTACTACCACCCCATCTCTCCCATACCACCAGACCGTCATCCCCATCTCTCCTACTACCACCAGACCGTCATCCCCATCTCTCCTACTACCACCAGACCGTCATCCCCATCTCTCCTACTACCACCAGACCGTCATCCCCATCTCTCCTACTACCACCAGACCGTCATCCCCATCTCTCCTACTACCATTCCCCTCCCTCCACCTACCACCACGCTACCATACCTCTTAACGTCGTCTAAAGCACTATTTCAGCTTTAAGACGCTGGGCGACAGGCATTCTACCCCTGTGGGAAACGAACCAGTCTTCCATATAAGGGGAAACACATCACATCAACGCCATCGATTTTTAATAAATTTCGACGAATAAGGAATCTCTTTTTACGTTCAAATCAGCAAAACCAACAACAATGTTGATGGATGCTTGAACAAGACTCGCTTGGCCAGTGATTGGTCCAACTTACATCCGACACTGCCGTTCCTGGTCGATAGAGCTGCTGCACCCAGTGCTACCAAACATGATTACAAAACACTAACTTTGTTTCACAATCTTTATTCAAGTTCAACCATAAAATATACATACAATATCCAATTCATATTCTTACTGGTGTACAATCGCCAATGTTTTATTGCCTCACTGGTATATAATAATATTCTGTAAAAATAAAGTACTTTCCGAGACTATGAAATAATCGGATAACATCGTAAGGCATTTATCTGATACTTTGATAAAGACACTTTGTTAAGTAACTATGATATAATTAAGTATATATGGATACAACCTATTCACCGACAGCCATAGGCATGCACGTAGGCACAAACACAATCCACAGTAGGCACTTGATACAAATCATTTACATTGCATACGGGTCACAAAGTTTAGAAATATATATATGTATATATAGATATATGTATTTAAAACTCATAATTGTCAGTCAATACTGATTTTGCTGAATACAACCGAGCATGGTAAATATATAGTGTGAATTTACTCTGAACTATTGCACAGGAATGTGTATAAAGGTTAAATAAACATTGCACATAAATGATGTAAAAGTTAAATAAGGTAAACATAAAACTTTGATAAATAAGCTATCTTCAGACATTTGATAAATACCAGTATTTGATGCATTAACTCTCTCTTTACTTATATTTTTGTATATGGATATAGAGCGTGACATATATAATAATGAGCATTGTCACAATCGGATATTTATCAATTCTGAGTGAATAAATAAGTATACATAAAACTTTGTAATAACAAAAATGAGACAAAATGTAAAGTTAACCCAAAAGAGGCCAAAAGTTATTAGCATTAAATAAATACGACTAGGATTAAAGTCCAGAGAACAATAATGGCGGGACTAGAACCACCCAAATATTAAAAGCAAATCATGAGACTAGAATTAACACAATAATACAAACGGACAAATAAAAATATAAATCCAATAAAAATTGCACATTGAATAAATAAATAATTACGAAAAACACGACTAGAACGTAACACAGTGACAAGCATAAATAAGTAGAAATAAATCTCAGTAAAGCAAATAATTATGACTAGTAACACAGCAAATAAATAAAAGTTCTGTAAATTAGGATTTCAGTTTGGGGACAAAGTTAAAGGCACGTAATGCGATGCACACCTTCCTTATAGGGTGCTGTTCGACGGAATTCCTGAATGCTGCTGGCTTTGCTGCGTTGGGACGAATGACTAACAGTATAATTAACAGACGATCGTATGAGTCACAGGCTAATCTTGAATAATACCAATCTGTTCGGTAAACACTTCAAAAGGTCCTAATTGGTGTCTGCTCTGACTCAGAAAATACTCGAGAAATTATCTTTCAAAAATAAATCAATCTGTGTAACAATACTATAGCTGGTCAATAAACGTTATTAATACTGGGTATTGATCTCCAATTAACACAATGGCAAAATATGTATACAAACATGATAGAAACAGGATCAAATCGACATGCGGACTGGTCCGGTTGAATCGATCTGGGCTTGATATCGATAACAGAGAGACTATGGTTCATAGCGATACAGCAATGCATGTTGACATAGCTATTACAACAGTATTTACGGCCCGGATTATAAAGGGAGATTTAGTTCACGCCTGTACTTCACATTAGGATACAGCACAAGCGAAATACAATACATGAGCCTCGTGGACTCACGATAAAGTCAAGTTTGTTTTCTTCTCCAGAAGCTGGTTTTGATTCACAATAAGCACTGTACTGACCTTAAGTGTTCACACAGAATATAATGCCCTCCTTGTCTATATAGTCTATCCCCACCCGGAAGAGCCGGTAGGCTTTCCAGGGAGAGGTCCCTACCCCCGAGCCTAGCAAGGTCTTGAGACAGGGAGCTGCAGAAGGATCACTTGTCTGTTTTCTGAGGGATGGCACTTATTAATATGCCGTGTCAAACCCGGCGAGCTGTAAAATGTACTCGCGCAGTATTTGCACGTGTATATGTCCTTGCTGTGAGTACGCACGTGTTTCTCGAGGACGATCTTGTTTGGGAATGTCAGGTTGCACGTGGAGCACGAGAGATCTTTGCTTCCTGGGCCATGCTGCGCCTCGTGTTTAGCACGTGAGGTTTCGTTGAGGAAGATTTTCCCACAAAACTGGCAAGGCAACGGTCTTTCGTTAGCATGGGTGGCGACGTGCTTTCTAAGGTAGGCCTGTCTCCTGAACTTCTTCCCACAAGTTTCACACTCGAACTGGCCCTCGTCACCAGAGGACTCGCGGTTGTCATGCGTGGATGGAGACAACGGGGATAACAGTTTATTATTGGGTATTCTCGTCTGCTCAAGCGACTCCACGTTGTTATTATTTTCGTTTGAAGTCTGAGCAGCTGGCAAGATCTTGGCAGGTGAGACGGTCTTGTTTGATCCAGCGGGGGCGGTTGTTTTGGGTTTATGCCACCTTCGGTGTGAAGCCAGATTTGCGGGACAATTGAACACCTTGTCGCACTCCGGACAACGGTACTCCACGTGCACAATGCGGGAACACCTGTGCTGGGCCAGCTGGAACGCATCCTCGAAAAAGTCTTTACAAAGTTGGCAAATGTAGTCTCCAATTTTGTTTTCAATTTTCTCAAGTTCTGCTCTGGCTTCGGGAGTGACTTCGACGTAGTTGTAACTGGGTTCAATGTCGCCGCAGACAATTCTTCCTCCGTCTTCTTCGCTGTCGGAGAAGTCGCGAATGATGGTACCAGACACAGGGGACGTCTTGTCGATGTCAAAGTTGATCTTGCGAGCCGCTTTTGGTTTCTTTGTGCCCACCGTCTTCTTTTCACTTTCTCCATTTCCCCTTTTTCTGTTTGGGGAGTGTGGAGACGATGTTGCGGTAAGGTTGTCATTTCTCGCCGCAAGTCTGTGAGGAGAATTGTCATTGCACAAACTAAGCTTGTCAAACGCCGAAAAGTAGAGTGGGGAGGGGTGCTGGTTGGTGTTACTCACCCCGAGGGGACTGCAGGCGGGAGCGACGTTGTTGTTGTCACGATCCTGTAGGAAGGAGTCCCTCTCCCTGAATGTCATGGAGATTGGGCTTGCAGAATACCCCGAATCAGGAGACCCAAAGTTGGTGTATGGGTACTCATGTTCTGATCCACTGTCACTCTTGTCATCATCGGAATGTCGTCGTTCTCTGTAGGAGTACGCGGTGTTCTTCGATCGCTTTACTAGGAATCCCCTAGGCATGGCTGATGGCAGATTGACGTCCAGCAGCTAAGGCACTTGCGGTGTCAACACAATACAAAGTCACAAAAACGACATGAGGTTTTTAAAAACCTCCGTTACGCTAAGGCATGCGAAATGTCCACGAAAACTAAACACACGAAAACAGGGGGGATCGCACCAGGTTGAGACGGTCAAGTTTACCAACGCAGCAAAAGTCACATACGCTGTAAAATGCACAAAAGCCACTCAACTTCTCGAAAAGTCTGTGAAGAAACGAAATAAACCACTGTCAAGGTATGACAAAGGGAAATCCTTTGAAATACGTCGAAATATTAATGCAGTTCCTTCAATGTTTTTGGTCCGATCCGTCCCTGTGTTGTTAGAACTCGCTTATATAGCCCAACAACCGTCTCATTCATATGTAGATTCTACACGCTAAGCCCCGCCTCCAGGACGTCACGAGCCTGTCGCGAGCCGCACGGGCAGACGACAGTCTTTGTTTCCCGCGTTGTGTGGCAGTCGTCTGCTACACATCCACTCACACTATTCATTGTGTTATGCCGGGACGGTATCGCAACTTGAGCGCTGATTTGTGGAGAAATGAAAACGGGATATCTCCACTAACTTGCCGCTCAATATCGAGAAGAACAATTGAGAGTTGCCTTCGTTGTCTGAAAAGCTGCAAAGCTCCGAAATTCTCTGACAAAGAAGCCCGCGACAGGCGTGTTGTTACAATAGAGTAGTGGTTGTTAAAAATAGATGAATATAATACACGGTAACAAAGGCTAGGGTTCCGTTATTCGATGCAAATTGCACACAGCCTTGTGATTCAATGACTATAGCAAATTCTGAGCGCATACCCTTGCAAAAGTGGATCATTCTACAGCAGGAATAGAAGGTGCCCGCTCGCCTGATTAATTGGAATTAACACATTTTATCCTTAGTGTTGAGGGAATTTCGGTAATTATTATCCGCTGATTCCTTTGATAGGAATAGCTTTGTTTGATGATGTGGGCAGTGAAATGGGAATAAAACCAAATATGTTGACCAAGAAGGCTTGCGTTGGTCAGAGGCGCTTGATCGAGTTATGTTGTTGAGTGGGGTGTATGATTAAATAATTATCTGAACCAAATGATATGATAGTCCCAAATCGCTATAGATCTCATCATGAAATATTTATACATAGTGGTACTGAAAACCACGGAATGCAGCACGGTAAATTACAGACAATAAACGGATGTTATTGGTATGAAAGTGATATCATATTGTGCATGCGAGGTGTCAGGACGATATGATCGGTTAGGTGCAATAAATCCGTTTTAGCTGTAAATAACATTCACATATTTCCGCTTCTGATTTTAATAACCGCAAATACTGTTTCTAACATTATTAATGTTAGGGTCATAAATTATAAATAATCAAGCATCTCATCTTGGAAAATACCCACAGTGGTTTTGTTACGGCCTCGAAACTGAAGTTAGTTATTGATAATTATACTGTTATTATTCAGTGATATTTTCAACAATGTTGCGTCATTTTACCATAGTCATGCGAAATACACATGTTACTTCTCCTATAGCCTGTACAAGGGTACTGAGACTTTCATGAGACGGAGACTTGGATAAGCCAGATAGAATAAGATGAAGGCATCATGGCGAACTAAATGCCAATACATAATTTCGTAAACACATTTTTCTTTTTCTTGAACGGTGTTAATAGGTGCAGAATAGAAGGTGTCAACATATATACTACAGGTCTTTCTGTTCTGTTAATTGTTATGCATCCTTGGTGCCTTAAAATGAGATATTATGTGGCACCAAACTATGGCCAGTAAAGCGAAGAGACAAAACAAACTAGAATAAACAATGCATTTGTTGGCCTCAGTGCTGTACAAATATGTCGACCAAATTACCTTTTCGTGAAAACAATCCTAACTTTGTTTGATAATATTCCAGAGTAAAGAGAAACATGTTACACGTTAAGCCACAAGAATTAAGCAAATCGAACAACTTAAACGAAGAACCTGACAACAAATCCACTCAATCTATATCCAAGATGCAAAATTCTTCTGCGCATGATCGAAAATGCATCTCAAAATGCGCCAAAATGTGAATTCACAAAAACTTGATATTTGTCGATGCTGATAGAAACATATTCAAATATTACTTGATTTACACATGGAAAAAGTCATTTGAAATATCGCCCGTGCCATTATTGCCAAGTTTTAGATGGGATCAAATTATTTAGAAGAAAGGCGTGTGAGATAATTTGCATACAGCTGCCGGTCTCGGTGCACAGGCCAGGTGTGTACCGCTGAGTAGTTCCCTCCAAAATGGCGAGCATTCTAAGGTTCCACGTGAAAAGTCTTGTAATATTCTTTTCAATGTACGTGGATTTTAGAAAATTACATTTTATAGACAATTTCTAAAATCTTTATCGATCCGCATTTTCGTTTGTGTTTGTAGAATGAAGCATTACGCTGGTTTGGCGTTTTGTAAGATTTACCTGATGAAACCCCACTTGCGTGAGATGTCAGGAAAAACGGAACAATACTCTCATCTAAAGCGAAACAAGCTGTCTAATCGGGATGATTAATAATGAATACGGAATGTTAAAAGCGTCTCTAAAAAATCAACAAATCATATAGAAATTTATATACCACATTTCTATTTAACCGTAACTTGAGATGGTTTGAACTGACAATTGAAGCAAATACATTGTCTTTCTCAATGTCCCGACTTTTTTAAAGAGGCATTATTATCACAGTAGCGCACTATATAAACCTGAATGCTTGCACTTAAAAACAACATTAGTGAGACAGAAAATATATTGCTTTTAGTTGAGATTCAGTGCATGAATACATTTTATGGAAGATACTATTTCGAGATGTTCTTACTTTAATCAGTCTTTAATCAGACATTTGCGAAGTCGGGCAAATGTCGTTACTAAGTTAGATTAATTCTAAATACATATCATATACATTATGATAAAATGCCAAGGGATGTCATGTTTTATATCGCCATCATATTTCTGATAAACGAAACAAACGAATTAATTCCGAAATAAAGGTAATTCA